ACCAAAAAGGAAATTGAAATTTTATGGACCGTTAAAGTGAAAACTCTAAATCAATAATGCCAATATCACTTGGAATTTGAAATCGAAATGCAAAAATGTTTTCGAAGTAATGGCGGTTTGAATAAATAACACGAACATGACTAAATTAAGCGACGGGAAAGCCAATGAATGGTATGCCACTAAAATGTGCCCAGAATATTATGCGGTGTTAATTTTGGCGTACACAGACGTACGCACTATACGTACATAAAATTATAAACGCACATCAATTACTGTGCTGTATACACACATACATACACAAAAATACATACAAATATAGTAAATAGTTCCAGCGAATGTGTCGCCTCGTTTTACTACCAATTTAAGCGCTTGAACTATTAACTTCATTTGTGTGTATTTATGTATAGCGTTAGCATGTATGTAGCTATTTTCACATTTAGCTTTTAGGCAATTTTATGAATAGTAGTTTTTTCATCGATTGATTCTGTTTTTGAATTATTTGAAACTAGCGAATAACAAGTTCACTTTGTGTGCCAGTTTCAATCAATCGAAATATTAATTCCAGGTATTGTAAGCTGGCGCTGTTTGAAAACATGGATTTAAATTATTCACAATAGGATAGAATCATTGAAGTTAACATATTTATAACATACCTAGCAAATGCCAGCTACTTCGTAAGCGGAAAAATGCATTTATATCAAGCGAATTTGTGTGTGATTTTTTTACCCCAAATAGATAGTATTTAATTAAAGGCCACTATTTCTTAATTATACCCTTAACTACATGGCGCATCAAAATAACGATTTTAGACCCAAGGTCTCTCTCTCTTTGGACGAAATCCGTTTTGGGATATTTGGAGTCGATCTAGGGTTGTCCGTCCGTCAGTCCGTCTATCTGTCTGGCTGGCTGATGCGCACGATAACTTTCGAAGGGAGTACCCTATTTGGTCCAAACTTAGTACATCGTAATATTTTTGTCAAACTTAGATCGAGTTCGGAGATGGGCAATATCGGTCCACTCCTTCTGGTACCTCCCCCACAAATAGTCGAAATTTTCTAAAAAAATATATATTTTACTGCACAGAAAGAGAAAGGATAATCCGAATTTGCTCAAATTTTGCAAATCCCAATAGTCGTATCAATGCTATGTCAGTTGCGAAAATAGACAATATCGGTCCACTCCATCAAGTACCTCCCCCTCCCTCACAAAGGGTCGAAATTTTGAACAATTATAACTCATATAATATGTGATGTAAGAGTCCGATTATCTTCAAATTACACACATCACAATATTTTTATTAACCTAAGGTCTGGTCTGCATATCGGTCCACTCCTTGTGGTACCTTCCCCACAAAGGGTAAAAATTTTGAATATCCATGAAGCTCATAAAACGCGAAACTGACATCCGCTTCATTTTAAATTTTATATATCTTAATATTACTATTAACACAATATCTGTTATAAAGATGGTAGAGATCGGACGATTTCTTCCGGTACCTCCCCTCTTAGGATTCAATATTTTGAAAAACAAAACGCTCAAAGAAAGCGTAAAGTGAAGATGAGTTATGTCTGCGAACCCCTCACCCACAATTTTAAATATTTTTATGTGTCAAAACTTGCGAAGCAAGTTAGCGATTCTTCACAACTTGCTATATCTCTCAACCAGAAACCTGGGATAAATACGGAATTTATGATTTGGCATAAAGTTGTATATAAATGTTCGATTTTCTTGTGATTTTGACCATACCAATATTATTATCTGTATTAGATGAAGTATGAAAATGGAATACTTCGGTCGAATATATCTGGCAGCCCACGTTCACTTTAACATTTTCTAAAATTCGTTATTTTTATGAATTTTTGTCGAAATTATTTCAAATTTCGTATTTGATGTTCGTAATGTCTACTACAGCCTATGGCAAAAAATTTCGTAAGCAGGCAGTCTTCGTATAGTCCACATATAACGGTTTTCAACCCATTTAAGTAGTTGTCGTAGTTTTGTTGAGATTTTTCAAGTTCCTTCCAAATGGTGGAGGGTATTAAATGTTCGGCCCGGCCGAACTTAGCTGCTTTTTTTACTTGTTACACTTTAAAGTAGGAATTTCGAAATTCGACTCCTTATTTAAACGCATCGCATTCACAATTATTCTAATATCAAAAGTCATAAAATATAAAACCCACACAAGATCCTCTTTCCAAATTTCAGATTTCTAGCTCTTTCCCGAACCCAAAATACCAAAATTTAATAACTTTTAGTATTTTTCGTACTTTTGGTTTGGTTCACCTGCATATATTAACCCCATCTCACAAAAAGTGACCCTAAACTCACTTTAATGTTTGCAGCTGTATCTCTCCCTCATATCCCAAATATAGTACCAGTTAGTAATTTCCAGATAAATTAATTTGTATACCAAATGTCAATCCTAATTCGAAATTTCAGAAAATTTCCAGTTCTATCGGTTCACACAAATACAAATTGTACCACATTTAGTACACATAAGTAAGAATTTCCAAAACATCCTTCATACCCTTAATCTACACTACAACAGTAATCTTAATCTCAAATTATAGGATTCCAGATCTTTCGGTTCAACAAAATCCAAAATGCACCAAATTTTAGTATACATAAGTACACCTTTCCATAACATCACACAACCCAATAGATATCTTATTTCCCAATTTCAGGATTATAGCCCTATTGGTTTATCCAAATCTAAATTGTACTAAATTTGGTACTATTTAGTTCACTTTAATTTATAGGTTAGGTATTTTTAACCTTATTACGGCAATGTAAGTTTTTCTTGGGGGAAGTACCAGCTTATTTGAATAGGTTCCGGGGCAATACACGAAAATTGGTATTTTTGTACCGAAACTCTTCGAAAATGGACCCGTTATGGGGTACTAAGATCTAAAACTACGTTATAGCCTGTTTTTGCTTTTCCAAGGCACCGGCTACGCGATCCATAGTTTTTCTAAATGTTATGATTTTTTTTAAGTAGCCAGCCTTTGGCCGGGGTTAAGATTTTCTACTCCGGCTACGCAATCCTTAGTTTTGTAAACTTTTGTACACTTAATTTGAGCCTTGTTCAGACATAATTCCCATTAGAATGATAATGTCCGGATACCATCCAAAAACAATAGGCCCCTATTCAGACCATAACCCCACCTCCGTGCAATATTTCATGAGGATCGGGTAATTGGGACCTGTAGCGTTCTTAAAAATAAGCCGCGACAAACGAACGAATGGACATACAAAGCTAGATCGACTCAGCTCGGCGAGGTAGAAAGATCCATTTATAATTTCATGGTGTTGTAGAATATAAAAACTACTTTAATTTTGTACCGAAATTAAGGAGCTGCAGTTATATGTGGGGTACTAAGAGTAGGACAACATTAATTTCCGAGAAGTTAAACTATCTACGGTGAACCCCAAATATCAAATTACAGCTGATTTGGTTGGAAATCAGGGTTTAAATCTTTATAGGTCTTAAATGAGTCTATACAAAATATTGAGCTACAAACCGAAATATCAAATGACTGGCGGCTGGTGTGGAACTTAACCCCTCCAAATACCGAAAATCGGCAGGTATTTTTAAATGAAGACTCTAGCTATATATGGGTCCATATAGCCCGCTTTTAATACCAATTATCTAAGGAGTACAACAACCAAATGACCCGTAGAGTGGTACATCGTCTAGCTAGATCGACTCAGCTAACTATATTGTTTACAAGCGTACAAAAGCATTTTGGTGAGAATTTTCCAGATAAAAGTGATGGAATTGTAGCGTGATAGTGTGATTTCTTCATATTTGGCTGAAAACCACAAGTGGCTGTCGTTAGAGCACTCCAGCATTTAAATGTGAATGAATCTTTTGTGTCTAGTACCATCGCTGGTTACCGTGATACAGGTAGCGTAACACGACGTTAAGGAAGTGGACGGAAGAAAACAGCAACATCAGCAGAAACGGTTGGAAAAGTAAAGAAGCGACTAGATCGAAACCCGCGTCGCAGTGACCGAAAAATTGCTCGTGAGCTGAACATATCGCAATATTCCATTCGGCAAATATTGAAAAATGAGTTCGGGGTACAGCCATTGAAATTCCAAAAAGTAAAAGAACTTACACCGCAACAGAAAGAAAATAGACTCAAAAGAGCTATAGATTTGCTTCGCTTGGTTGAATTTGGTTTTCTCCGATGAGGAAAAAATTGTTGTCCAGCAGTTTGTAAACAAACAAAATTATCGTGTTTACTTGCCAAAGAGGTCAGCTGAAAATGTGAACCTTCCATTGGGCACCAGAACCCAAGCGCCGGTCATGGTGATGGTGTGGGCCGCCATAACAGCCGATGATCGCTCTACGCTCGTATTAATCAACCGTGGGATCAGAATAAATGCCGAATATTATCGCAAAAACATTCTGAAGGGTGTATTAAACCCTTGGGCACGCAAACATTTTGGCAGCAGACCTTGGGCATTCCAACAGAACTCAACAAAATGAGGTTCCTCGCTTCATTTTCAGCGCACAATGGCCACCAAAATCTCCGGATACCAATCCGTTGAACTACTGTGTCTGGAGTATTTTGGAAAGCAAGGTTGGCATTAAAAAATACCAATGTGTCGATCACCTCAAGCAAGCGCTTTGCCGGGAATTGCCGAAAATACCGCAGAGCAACATTCGGGCAGCGTGTGACGGTTTCATTGGCGGTTTGAAGGTCATAATTCATGGCAAAGGTGACCAATTCGAACAAATCTAAACTTTTTCTAAAATTTGATACTATTTCCGACATTTTTGCTTTCATTCAATAGAATTAAAAAAAATGTAAAAATGATGGCGTTTGACATTGTTGCAGTTTTTTTATGTCACCCTGTATACATAACTAGATCCCTCATCATGTTGTGATGATCGGTATACTTTATGGCTGTTCTAGGACTAAAAGTACGTTTACAGTATTAAAGGTTAATCCAGTGGGTTTTATAGATCTAGTGGGTTAACCCTGCTTGTTTACATATACCGTTGAGAGGATATAAATGACAGTTTATGTATACATACAATACCGAAAAGAAAAACATTCAAATTTAAAATTCTATCCGTTAAAATGGAAAAAATTGAAATTTTCAAAAATCTTTTTATCCAATGTTGTGCTCAAATGCAGAAAAACAGACAATATCTGCAATATATTAATTTAAAACAAAGGAAATTTTTGTTCAAAATTATAATTTTAATAAAAAAAAAAAACGTTGCGAACAACAAAGCAGTTTAAAAGCGTCCAGGAGAATATGGAAATTCGTAAGTACTGCATTATTTTGGTACTATCCGGTTGATACATTCTATCTCATTTTCACATAAATAATGCAGGAACGGCAAGGGAAATTTTTTGAATTGGATATACCCAGATGCACAGACAGTTTTTTTAAAGAAAGCTTCCGGATGAGTCGAGAATGTTTTAGAATCCTATGTCAACGAGTATGTTCCTTAGAAAAGCGGGACACTACTTTCATGAAGTGCATTCCATTAGAAAAAAGGGTAGCTAGCGCTTTGTAATTTTGTGTGGAAAGTTTTATCCTCGGACTACCTACCCTGCAACATTGCTACAGAGAACAAGATAGATGAAAATGTCAAAGAATTCGAAGCAATGGGCTTTCCTCAATGCTTTGGAGCCCTTGGTAAGTTTTTCTAAATAAAATATATTCTATAAGAGACCATTAAATACTTTAAAATTACCCTAGATGGATGCCATATTGAAGTCAAACCTCCAAAAAATGAGGCATATGACCACTATAACTATAAAGGCTGGTACTCCATGGTCCTGTTGGCTTTAGTGGACTATAGGTAATGGTCAACAAACACTAACCAACATTTTTATAAATAGTCATATCCCTTAATTTTAGGTTTCGTTTCATATATATAAATGTCGGTGCACTAGGTCGGTGCAACGATTCTTATATATATGAAAATAGTAAACTTAAGTCAATGCTTCAAAGTCCAGATTTTCAAAGGAATTGCAGAAACATAAATGGTGTTAATGTTCCAGTTTTCATCATTGGGGATTCCGCTTTCCAACTTTCGGAATATCTTATGAAGCCATTCCCATTCTCAATTTCTTCTCCAGAGAAGGAGAAATTATTCAACTATCGCCTCTGAAAAGTTCGAAGAGTTGTGGAAAACGCCTTCGGCCATTTAAAGGCAAGATTCCGAAGGATAGGAAGAGGAATTGAAAACAATTTAAAAAATGCAAAAAATATTATAAAGTGTTGCACAACTTTGTAAATGAACATAATGACCCAATAAACCAAAAATGGTTAGAAGAAATCGAAATAAACCGAAATGATATCCCTCAAATTCCTCGAAATGGCAGTTATGGCAAAGCCGGAGTAATAAGGAATGCTCTCGCAGATTTTTTCTTGGAAAATGGTAATAAATATGTATTTTATGTTTTGTTTCTAAATACTGTATTTTAGAGCTCGAAGCAGGTGAACAACAATCCGCCTTGTTATCAAATATTTGTGAAACGAATCAAGAGAACGTTTAATAAATAACATTTTAATTAAAACTATTCATAAAAATATATATAAAAAGAGAGGAAAATAAAAGCAAATAAAAATGCAATAACAAGAAAATTAAGTATATTGTTCTAATTTACTGGTTCGTCAAATACAAAGGGTATCATATTCAGTACTTTTCCTACCGAATTTCCAACTTTCCCAACCTTATTTGACCCCTTCGGACCAAGAGTGATCCTCACCCAAAATGTCCAGTTTTATTAATGTAGATTTCACACTAGAATAATGGTATTTATTAAATGTATTTATTTTAAATAAGATTGAAAATGGAATAGAATAAGGTAGTATTTAAATAATACTAATAATGAATTATATTCATATGTACATTTGTATTAAATTATTAATATTTATTATAATTGTTATGATCAATGTATTTATACTACAAAAAAAATATCGTTTAAAATGCGCGTCAAAGAGTTAATAGTTTGAAATTTACTTGGAATTTTTATTTTTAAAAATATCTACAAATTCCTTAAGGATTTCGTTCGGCTCTTTTTCGGTCTCAGCAATGACTTTTTGTATATTGAGTCCCTTTTCAGTTAAATCATTCATATATTTAACACACTCTACTAACTCCTTGTTAGTAGCATCTATATTTTGTTTAATTATTTTACTATTTTCTTTGTCACTTTTCTTCGCTCTTTTTGGTTTTGATGCTTCAACAGGAACTTCCATACTTTCCATATCGCAACTTAAAATTTCAATACACTCAATAGATTCATCATGGACAAATTCCACAAAAGGCGTATCTACAAAAAAAATGCATACCATCAGGCAATATCTTTGTGGTTGTTACGAATATGAGCCAACCACACACTCACTCTAAGTCATTTTTAAGTTACCAACAAAATCTTCAAAATTAAAATGCTCACAATTTTGTTAAATAGCGATAATTTTCCGCATGTTAACGACCAAACTAAAGTAGTTTTATTTGAATATTGAATTTTAGTTTTATAGATTTATGTCGGTAACTCCGAAAAAAGGTTACCTAAATCCACTACAGGTAGCAAAATGCAGATTTATTTACCAAAATACAAAATTGTTGTATTTTGGAATAAATATTATATGCATACATATATGATTAAACATACCTATGCTTTCCTTAACAACCGTTTGTATATTGTGTTCATCAACATTTCTTACCGGTATCTGTTTGTAATATTGTGTACTTTGTTTTTTTACTTCTTCCCCATCATCGTAAAATTCTAAGATTTAGCCCTGTCCGTCCGTCTGTTGTAATCACGCTACAGTCTAAACGAATTAAGATAGGAAGCTAAAATTTTGCCCAGATCTCTCTTTTGTCTGCAGGCAGATCAAATTCGAAGATGGGCTATATCGGTCCACAATATCGTATAGCCCCCATATAACGGTACCCCCCGATATTCGGTATTTTGATGATTTTACCCACATTTTTCAACGGAATTGTCTGAAAATCCACACAAGGAGTTCCTTGTGGGTACTTTATACCTCGGCAGAGAATTATCTATATAGGTCCACAATATCGTATAGTCCCCATATAACGGTACCCCCGATATTTGGTATTTTGATGATTTTACCCACATTTTCAACGGAATTGTCTGAAAATCCACACAAAGAGTTCCTTGTGGGTACTTCATAGCTCGGCAGAGAATTATCTATATAGGTCCACAATATCGTATAGCCCCCATGTAACGGTACCCCCGATATTCGGTATTTTGATGATTTTAGCCACATTTTTCAATGGAATTGTCCGAAATTCCACAAAAGGAGTCGCTTGTGGGCATTTTACCTCCTCAAAAAGAATTGTCTATATAGGTCCACGATATCGTATATCCCCCATATAACTGTAACCCCCGATATTCAGTATTTTGATGATGTTAGCCACGCTTTTCAATGGAATTGTCTTAAAATCAACACAAGTAGTTCCTTGTGAGTACTTCACCCCCTGAGAGAGAATTGTCTATACAGGTCCACGATATCGTATATCCCCCATATAACGGTACCTCCCGATATTCGGTATTTTATGATTTGACCCACATTTTTCATCGGAATTGTCGGAAAATCCACACAAGGAGTTCCTTGTGGGCACTTTATACCTCGGCAGAGAATTATCTATATAGATCCTCGATATTGTATAGCCCTCATATAACGGTACCCACAATATTCGGTATTTTGATGTTTTTAGTCATATTTTTCAACGGAATGGCCACAAGGGGTTCTTGGTACACAGGGGGTTCTTTGTGAGCACTTTACCCCCCTACAGAGAATTCTCTATATAGGTTAACGATAACGTATAGCTCCTATATAACGGTACCCCGCGATATTCGGTATTTTGATGATTTTAGCCACATTTTCCAATCGTATTGTCTGAAAATCCACACACGGAGTTCCTTGTGAGTAATTTACACGCAGACATAGATTTGTCTTTATAGGTCCACAATATCGTATATGCCCCCATATATCGGCACCTTCCTATATTAGATATTTTAAAGATTTTAAAAGAATTTTTATTGGATTTTATTTTTTTTTGAAAATTTTCTAATTCGTTCCAAATGGTGGAGGGTATTCAACTTACTGCTTTTTTACTTGTTGCCTAATCAATTTGCTGTAAACAAAAAAAGATCATTGGTTTTATTCTTATGTTTTTATATTTACTTACCTTTCTGCACATTCGTTTTCCACATTATAATTCCTTTTTTTTTGGTTTTTGAAATATTCAAAACTTTTTTCTTTTGGTTATGCTTGCTAACGTTTGACACAAATGAAGGAAATGTAAACAAATAGTTTATAGAAACACTTGATTCATTCGGTATTTTAAAAAATAGTTGCATTTTTTTCGTATTAATCAGTGTTGCAAAACATTAGTATCAGGAAGATTTCAAATAAATCCGGTTATGAGAAGATTTAAATTTGTGTGACAAATCTTGTTGAATTAATCCAGATTTAGCAAATATATCTTGATAATAAGGGTTAATCCAGAAAAAAAGCTTTAATATAAACATGCTATAATATTTCAAAGTTTTAAAAACTTTTTTGCAACATTCACCATGGAATAACAATTTCAATATCAAACCTAAAGTGCCGCCTAGGTGTCACATAGATAGTCAGAAAGATATAGAATTTTGATATACAATAACGAGAAAGTTGTGTTTAGTATCCTTCTCATGGCCAGAAAAAATGCATGCTCCTGGTCCTTTTAAGCATCGCTGACTTGACTTGGGCTATTACATTCATTGATTTGCATTGCTAATTATAATTTACATTTTTGGTGTCAATAAATGCACTGTCTATATATTTTCCTAGCTGGCAATAATTGTTTTCTTTTTTTTTTTGTTTCGAATTCAAATGAATAAATTAAGCTTCAATTTAAACCGCAGTTTTCGCTATGGTTACCAATGGACGCAATTCGGCAGACCCATGGTTGTCAAAGTTGTTGTGACTGCTGTTGTCATTGTCATTGCCACGGACAGACGAACGGCCGGTGTGCCATGACAGTGACAGACATTGGCGGGTTGGTGGCGAATGCGTCCGTTGCTCAGCAATAATTTGGCTTTGGTCAATGGACATATTTTCCTTCGGGCCTCTGTCGTTGGTTGGTCGCCTATTGTAGTGGTTTCCATTATGCGGTTACCAAATTCATGTTTACACATGTTCATGTGTATGAGGGCTGATGAATGCCCAAGGAGTGTACATTGGTCGAAGAACACACGTTCGTCTGTCATGTAGCAGGATAATATATTTGCCGGAAACTTGTGCTAAGTACGTATTTACCACAGAATACCCTATGGTCAGATATTTAGATATATTTAATATGTATTTACCTATTTTTCGAAATATGAATACAATGCTTATTTTCCAAGTAAAAGATGCAAAAGTGAAAGATTTTAAGAGTTTGTTATCAATAACACTTAATGCTTGAAAAGAATGCAGTGTATCGTAAACTCGTTACAAGAATCTACAGTCATTGAAAATTTTTTCCACTAAAAACTTTTTCCGTAACAGAAAAAGTATTTAAACTTTAAGACAAATTTAAAAGAGTGAATTTGATTGGCTAAAATCGAATTTGATTGGCTAAAATCGGATATTTAAGGAAAACATCTTACTTGTGGAAACATCTTTAAAAATCTAAGCCTTTCATTTCAGATTATAATCAAGGACCAATATTGAGATTTTTCTATCAGCATTTCTTTTAATACTAGCTGAAAATATAAGAATGGGGGTAATTGAATAGAAATAATGATAAACGAGTAAAAAGCAATTAAGTTTTAATTTTGATACCCTCCACAACTTTGAAGGAATTTGAAAAATTGCAAAAAAAAAAAAACAAAACAAGTAAAAAAGCAGCTAAGTTC